AGTTCAATTTAGTGGGCCATTTCCATTAACTTTGATGACAAGGAACTCTCAGTAAGTACTTATGAGAGTATTTGTCTATTGTATTTGCACATCTTATATTTAATTATAAGGCCAGAATTAATATATGTTCCTATAAAGTACAAAGTAACAACCAAATTGGTTTAAAAAGTCATTGTTTTTTACTATTATGTGAACTTATGAATGTTAAGTTGAAAGAGCAAAGGATCAAGTAAACATCATTAATTACATATTATAGTTAAAACAATCTATTAAAAAGGCACATTTAAAAATAAATTTCATACGTCTATTTACTACTAGGTAAACAATACATGGTAAATACTACCTACCCTATTGTCAATGCCATTAGTCTCTGTGCTATGACAACTTTTATTTGGTGATTTCTCCAAAATAAGTATTATTCTTTATTCACATAGGATATAAAACACCCATAAACTTTCCAAATAATTGGGTTTGGAGCACTTGAAAAAAACACAAAAAAATTCTAAGTTATTATTATGGAAGTAAAGATGCATTATTACTTTTACTGATAGCTGGAGAACAAGAGATTGAGGTGTTGGCTATGAAGTTGATATAACAATGCTGTACTAGACTCCACTAACTCAGGTAGAAAGAAGCTGAAGCACAGAATGAACCTAGTAGAAGGTCATGGGTAGCCATGGGAGACTACTGATAATGGCTGTTGATCTTGCCAAGATATTTTCTGGCAATCTGAGATGGAAAAGTATAATCTGTTCTAATAGAATGAGTAAAGTGTTCATCACTTCAGAAACTACTTCTTTGGCGGTTGGATAATGTTTCAGAATGTGCCTGATCAAGTGCTAGCAGCTGAGTTTCACCTTTTCTGCAACATTGTTCTTAATTTAACTTGGTCTAAGTTCTAATCTGTAAATGAGAAATGCTAGTAAGAATCAGGGGTCAATTTATTTGTTGTAAATTTGCCATTAATTATCAATGTGTACAATTCCAAACATTTATAAATCCTGCAACTTATAGAAAAATCAATGCAATCTTGAAATTATTTGAACAGTGATTTTTCACTATTTACAATTAACCTACCTATGTAGAAACATAACTAGTTTTTATAATAGTTTCCACAAAGTGGTAATGTCACAGTACCTTTCTATAATATGTCCCTTAAGTGGCAACTGCATGAATAAAACCCAGCAGACACAAAAATTTATAAATACCATCAGAACAGTAAATACAGGCTACCATCAGTTCCAAACAAAACAAAACCTTTTATATTAACATATATATATTTTCCCATTTGACACTAATTAAAGAAAATAATTAGGAGGTATTATTATTATATAACAAATTAATTGTATGATATTTTAAAAATTGATGCTAAGAAGCTAGGTGAGTTTTTAAGAACATGTAATATGTATTTTGAAAAATTCTTTTTATAAGAAAGCATTTCTAATGATCATTTTTAGTTGTAATGATATTAAGCAGAGATCATTCTGTCATCCTAGATAGAAATAATGATTTCTTATTAATTGATAACATTTGGATTGAAAGAGATTCCTTGTTGCTAAATTTTTCTTTGTTTAGATTTTTAACTCTTTTCACAGCCTCTAAAAAGGATCCCAAATATGTGAAAAATAATTCAAAGGAAAAATTTTATTTGGACTAGTGCTTGCGTTTGAAAATAATATTTATTACACTATTCCAAAGGCTTTCTTCTTTTTGTAGCATGTACTCAGCTAAGACAATTAAATAAAAAGTTGTGATATAAGAAATATAGTTGAAGTCACGATAAAGTACATCTTCTTTTATTCACATAGAACATATAAATTTTGAATGTTGGCTCTTTAAAAAAAATCATTCCTAAAAAATAAGCCTAACTACTGCCCAAAAATGTATACAGCTGTTTTTCCCAAAATATTTATATACATAGTAGTCCACTTAAGAACAGCCCTGTTATAACCTCCTGAATACAATGTGCTCTTAATTTATAAATGGGCTACCCTCACAGTATACAAAATATATATAGGCATGTATGTGATACATACAAAATAAAATGTATAAAAAGGAGAGATGAAAAAAAATAAAGAAAAAGAAAGTGTCCTTCCTTGTAAGATACAGGCAGAATTTCATTGTAATTAGTGAGACCATGTAAAATATCTGAGGAACTTCAGTTCTGGCAAATGCTTTTCAAAGAAAACATCCAAGCTATGGGAGTACTAAATTTCCATTTTAATAATTTACTAGAGATTTCCATTTAAACATTCAGTGAAGACATTGTGGTCTTCTAATAGGTAGAAAAGATGACTTTGGGGGTTTGCTAAAAAATGTTACTCATTTTTAGCAGGTTAGTCCTGGCTTCATCAAGCATGTGTTGTACAGGGAATCAAATCCTGGTCTATTAGCATTTGAATGTGTTTGATGAAAGATTCCAGTGGGCAGGATCTGAATTCGTCCTAGCTCCTAGAGGGAAAAGGGCAGCATGTTATGGCAATGGGAGGGGTCAGCCCCAAAAGTGGCTGGCCCATCCTTAACTGTTGATGATAAAAAACACACCAGATGTTTCCACAGCATTCTTTCTGCTGCATTTTCTTTATTTCAAGCCACAGGTCTACTTGGAAGGTCATGCAGCAAGTGGCTTATAAATAAAATCAGAGTCTATGAATAGTGTCATCACATTAAGAGATAGAATTGCTGGATTCTCTCATTACATAAAAAGCTTGCATCTTGGGAATCCGTCAGTTCTATTAATTATGGGATACCTAAAATGGGGGACAAAAACCATATATGTCAATCACACAAACATGCAATTTAGGAGCTATAGCAATGAAGATTACTTAATCATTTATTGAGCTAGAAATTCCCTAGGATTTCTAAATAATGCCTCACAATTAAAAACCAAAAAATAACTAGACAAATTCCAAAATCAGCAAATATTACCACTGTTGTTCATTGTTTATCAAGGCAAACAATTTCCATTGCTCTGAAATCTCAGCAAACGTTATGAGAGGGAGAGCCTAAAGATGATGACCATATATATTTTAGAAGCCTTACTAGTTTGGACACATATTGTATCCTTTAGCTTAGAGAGATGCTCCATTTTCATGGAGACCGTGCCTTTTCATGTTGTCATGGTACCAAAAGAGAAACGGGGGGGGGGGGGGGGGAAATCAATGAAAACTTTCAGCTGCATTGTTTCCTTCTTTCCTTTTCCAGATCATCATTAGGCAGCCACAAGTACTTAGGATAATGGAAAGTAACAGAACTTTTTCTGAAACAGTATGTATCTTTATAAATTTCAATTACAGTTCTCATGGGAATATTTAGTCTTTCACCAAACACTCCCAGAAGTACAAACAGAGCAGACATTTGCTACTTCCATATAAGTTTATGGATACAGAAGCCCTTAAGTATAAAGCATGAATACCAAAATAAGGTATTATTATTATTAGCAGATGACTTTTGAACAAATTTTTCCTGAACATGTTTGAATACAAGGAATATAGAAAAAGGTAAGATAATCTAGTTTTCAATTTTCATGCAAATGATCCAAATTTTTCATTAAAAGATCTAATGTTCTGCTGATATAAATAATTTTCATTCTCTATTTATATATCACACTAGACAGATGATACCAAGCTGAATAAATTCTTGTTAGATTTCCACAGATGTTCTCCCCCACAACAATAAAGGTTAAATTTAATATTTTCAAACCATTTCATCATCTTATTAATTAAAATACATCATTTACTAACCATGAAGTTTTTTTTAAAAGTTTCACTTTCATGGAAACATATGGAACAAGAAACAAGTCATTTCTATTTAAGCCAGTTGAGCTACCATCAGGAGCAGCTTCCATGACAGCTACTGGATTTAATCCAGATTACAGAGTACCATTTTACAACATGCTGCACCATTTTACTTTTGTAAGAATATCTGTAGAAGTTAATATGCAAAAATAATAATTCAGTTTTCATTTTAACCAATTTATTTCAGCAATGATTTTTAAAAAAAACTTCAGGAAATGAATTCTTTTAACTAAAATAAAAATGCATATAAATCTTCCTCAGTTTTAAAATTTTACAAGACCTCTAGAACTCTAAAACTAAAACATTAAGACTTGCTTAAGCAAATTTTCAAGAGTATGAGAACCAATTTATATACAGCTGAAAGCCAATTAATTGATGTCAAAATTATACTTTAACTTTTATTAGTAACGCTGAAAGTCCTTTTATGTAAATATTAACATCTGTACTCTCACTTTTGCTTATTGCTGCAACTAACAGCTAAATGCAGCCCCTCAAAAACATTATCATCTACTAAAAGTAAAAAAAACATACAGCACAGTCACAGTCCTTAATTCTAATTGTCCCCAAACATTAAGTGGTCTAACTAATTAGACCTTCAATTGATTTTCCAGGTTCCTAAACATAGGAAGAATAAAAAACAATGGGAGCTTTCTGCTGAGTTATACACAAACACATTAATACTAACTAACAAAATTGTCTAATTTAAAGAGTAACTAACCTGAGATGTACCTTGCTCCGATTAACATTACCATGCTACTCACTATAAAAAAGCCCAAGGGCAGACTACAGAAGATACTAGGGTCACCTGTGGTCATCCAAGCAGAAGGGAATTCCAGTCAAGCAAACCAAAAGAGAGACACATAATTACAATATTTGTGTTAAGAATCACGTGATAGCAAAACAAGTTATAAAACAGTAATATTCATAAAAGCTAGCAAAGAGTTATTACTTCAAATCAAAAATATAATCAATATTGAAGGCTTATGACAGTTAACAAACAATACAGATAGCATGCCACAAGTAGTCAAGAACATAATACGTACAGACCAACATTTGCCTTCCACTGGCAAAACCAAAGAGAGGCTATGGAGAACTTTTTGGGAGGCTGCTGATTTTAGCTTTCATCTTCATTCTTTCCCCCAAAATATTAGATGAGCAATTCAGTTGCCCTACAGTTCAATATACAGGCTCTTTTGGCTGTCAGAGAAGAGTTATATTAGTCTACTGAAAATGAATTTAAAACCCTGTTTTTGCTGAAATATTGGTTCAATATTACTCCAACTGAAAAACTACACTGTTTTCATTTATATTTTAAAAATCACCTGAGAACATGATTATTTTTTGTTACTTTCTAAACCAAATTCTCTTGAAATCCCTTCCTTAAAGAATACTTTTTTAAAAAGATTTATTTATTTGAAATAGTTACACAGAGAGAGAAGGAGAGCCAGAGAGAGAGAGAGATCTTCCATCCACTGGTTCACTCCCCAATTGGCCGCAACGGCTGGAGCTGGGCCAATCTGAAGCCAGGAGCCAGGAGCCAGGAGCCAGGAACTTCTTCCCAGTCTCCCATGCAGGTGCAGAGATCCAAGGACTTGGGCCATCTTCTACTGCTTTCCCAGGCCATAGCAGAGAGCTGGATCAGAAGTGGAGCAGCCAGGACTCAAACCGGCACCCATATGGGATGCTGGCGCTTCAGGCCAGGGCTGTACTCACTACGCCACAGCCATTACTTAAGCACAACTAGAAAAGGAAGAAGTCAGAGCCCATGTTTATTTTATTTTACACAGCAACTAGCAGTGTTAGAAAAAAGTTACAATTGACAGGTTTAATTGTAGAGGTTCTCAAAAGCATAGTCTTAGAGCAGCTTTGACATTATCTTTTAAAAGAAATCTGAGTCTCAAATAATTTAAAGAAAAAGGATATTAAGCTTACTTAGGAAAAAAGCCAAAAGCTTCAAGTAGGAACATCCATTACTAAAAATATAGATTACAGTATTTTATGGTAGAAGCTTCTTTAAAAAGTGGTTCTATACTCACTTTGGGGTTGGAAGGCAGCAATGATTTCCTTTGAAAACTCTTTTCTATTAAAATATATGCTTTAATAAGTTATTAGCCATTGTTCTATTCATTATGCTCCAAATCTTGCATTCAGCAAAAATTACAATATATACCCTACTAAAGACAACTTAAGACTTTTTAAGGGGCCGGCGCTGTGGCGCAGCTGGATAAAGCCCTGGCCTGAAGCACCGGCATCCCATATGGGCACCGGTTCTAGTCCTGGCTGCTCCTCTTCCGATCCAGCTCTCTGCTATGGCCTGGGAAAGCAGTGGAAGAAAGCCCAAGTGCTTGGGCTCCTGCACTCATGTGGGAGACCCAGAAGAAGCTCCTGGCTTTGGATCGGCACAGCTCCAGCCGTTGCAGCCATCTGGGGAGTGAACGAGTGGATGCAAGACCTCTCTCTCTGTCTCTACCTCTCTCTGTAACTCTTTCTAATAAATAAAGTAAAATGTTTTTTTAAAAAAAAGACTGTTTAAACCTAAATGGTTTACTGATATTGAGTACCTTCTTACCTAAGCAATTGAAAACTAACACAGTCCCCCATTTTCTGTCAAGAGCATTTCTCAATATTTAATGATACTTCTAATTTACTGTGTTTGATACATTTCTTCCTCTCTGATTCCAAAAATTCCCATTATGTACATTTCCTAAGTACTTGGACCAGCCTAGGAAGTAGTGGAATATATTCTGAGATTAATATAGCATTTGAATGGTTCAGGTCATAAAGACAGCCCCCCAAAAAGGCAAAGTAAAACAGAGGAGGGAGGGAGGGAGAGGGAGAGAAAGAGAAAGAGAAAGGCGAGAGAGGACTCTAGGTGATTTCTTTATCATTAAGAAGAAACTCGAAATAATTTTATTTTTAGAAAACTCAGTTATCAATTGGAAGTACCAAAAAAAAACTCATGAATAAAAATACGGCAGGGCAGAATTAAAAGTATGTAGAGTAACCTGTTAAATTCCATTTTATGGTTAGAACTTTAAAGTGTTTTCAAAATGTGAGAAACTTTGGACATATGATAATCAGTTTGACTATGTATAGGTGGCTAGATAGTTAAACTGTTGAGTATACTAAGAAAAAGTGTCAGTAAGAGACAATAAAAACACTTTTACCACTTTCTGGAGACTGCGTTGTGACCCAGCCCATTGACTTCATCACAGCTTTCTTCCACGTAGAATAACGTATTTCACTTTCTAGAATTAGAAAGTAGGAAACACATGCATGTGAAAGGTAGTTTGCTGACATGTTCAAAGTTATCACACTTAGGATCACTTGGCATTCTTGATAAATTGGGGCCCACATTAAACTGCAGTGAGGCCTCACCATGTATGCCACAGTGCTGGCCCTGCATAGGTTTCTTAAACATTGTAAAACCAAATTTAACATATGATACCTTATTTTTCATTCTCATATTAATTCAGGAGATTTGTCACTGTATTTTATTAAGGTGTTAATCAGACCTTATAGCTTAGCTTAGTATTTTAGTACTATTAATCAGATACTTAATGCTCATTTACTTAAACTGTTGCTGCAACCTGCTGTAATTAACAGTTACCAGGTGTCTCAGAGGCCCACTAAATCACGTTCTAAAGCTGGGTAATCCACACCCAATGATGATCGGGTATGGACATAAGGGGTGGATGGCTGATAAGACTCCTGGTCTTCCTTCTCACTTTTAAAAAGCCATTTCTCACCTATCAGAAATGGATAGATTCCTGGACACAGACAACCTACATAAATTGAACCAGGAAGACATAGAAAACCTAAACAAACCTATAACCGAGTCAGAAATTGAATCAGTAATAAAGACTCTCCTAACAAAAAAAAAAAAAAAAAAAAAAAAAAAAAGACCAGGACAGGATGGATTCACTGCTGAATTCCACCAGACATTTAAAGAAGAACTCCAATTCTCTCAAACTATTCAGAACAATCGAAAAAGAGGGAATCCTCCCAAATCCTTTCTATGAAGCCAGTATCACCTTAATTCCTAAACCTGAAAAAGATGCAGCATTGTAAGAGAATTACAGACCAATTTCTCTGATGAACATAGATGCAAAACTCCTTAATAAAATTCTGGCCAACAGAATGCAACAACACATCAGAAAGATCATCCACCCAGACCAAGTGGGATTTATCCCTGGTATGCAGGGATGGTTCAAAGGTGGCATGTACCAATGCCATCTTACTAGTTAAAGTGATCAGTTTAAGTTCATAAATGATCAAAAAGATAGGATTACGTGTCAAAGGGATTACGTAAATAAGACCAGTGTCTGCAAATAATTGATAGAATTAAAAAGGAGAAAATGATCCTATATGGGAAGCAGGATACACAGCAGACTCATAGAATGGCAGATGCCCTAAACAGCACTCTGGCCTCAGAATCAGCCCTTAAGGCATTTGGGTCTGGCTACAAAGTTCATGAGAGTTTTGCAGGCATGGAAAGCCAAGACATTGTGGCAAAAAAAAAAAAATGACCTAAAGGAAAGATCTCTGTGAGTGAGATCCCAGAGGAAAGAATGGGCCATCAAAGAAGGAGGTACCTTTCTCTGAAGGGAGGAGAGAACTTCCACTTCAAATATGGCCTTGTCTAAATAAGATCGGAGTTGGCGAACTCAAGAGGCTTCCATAGCCTTAGCAGCTCATGACAAGAGCCTCAGGTGATTACTGATGTCATAAATAAGAGTGTCAAATGTTAAATCAACAACGGGAGTCACTGTGCACCTGCTCCCCATGTAGGATCTCTGCCCTTAATGTGTTGTACTATGAGAATTAATGGTAAAACTATTACTCAAACAATACTCTATACTTTGTGTTTCTGTGTGGGTACAAACTGTTGAAATCTTTACTTAGTATATACGAAGTTGATCTTCTGTATATAAAGATAATTGAAAATGAATTGTTATGAAGAATGGGATGGGAGTGGGAGTGGGAGATGGGATGGTTATGGGTGGGAGGGAGGTTATGGGGGGAAAAGCTGCTATAATTCAAAAGTTGTACTTTGGAAATTTATATTTATTAAATAAAAGTTGAAAAGAAAAAAATAAAAAGCCAGTTCTCACAAAGTACAACTGACAGTGTGGCAACATTATTCTTCTACATTGAAAGGCCTGTAAAGAGCAAAAGTGAATAGTTTTAAAAGGTAATCTTCAGGGGCTGACATTGTGGCATTACATGTAAAGCTGCCATCTGTGATACTGGCATCCCATATGGGCAACAATTCGTGTGCCAGCTACTCCACTTCTGATTCAACTCTCTGCTAATGGCCTGGGAAAGCAGCAGAGGAAGGCCAAAATGCTTGGGCCCCTGCATCCACATGGAAGACCTGGATCTGGGTTTCAGCCTAGCTCAGCCCTTTCCATTGCAGCCACATAGGGATTGAATCAGCAGATAGAATATTGGTCTCTCTCTCACTCTTGCTCTCCCTCTGTCTGTAACTCTTTCAAATAAATAAATAAATCATTTTTAAAAGTGATCTTAGAAAGCTTTGCATAAGGAACTATATCTCTCAATCACACTTATTCAGCATAGCCCAATATATGCCGAGTAGCCAAGTGAGCAACAACAGTAACATTTGCAATTTTTACTTTGCTCCTGAACTAACAGATAAATAGAAAGGCAAACTCCCCTCCACTAAGGTCCCTTTCACAGTACACCATTAAAAGTGTCATTCTTTAAATGTACCCTCAGCGTTGATCTGAGGCTCAAACCTCTCCATTGTGACAGCTGACAAATCCTCGGGTTCGAGACTCCAAACACCAACTCCTTCTGCAGCTCCAGCTGCCATGGCAGCGCCCAGTGCAGTTGTTTCAGGCATTGAGGGCTTGACTGAGGAGAGAGGGTACATCAACAATTTTTTTAGTTGCATATTCCTAGAGAATTAGTTCTTCCAAAAGAAACACTGCTCCTGCAGTTGAAAGGAGCAAATGTTTACTAACCTACTGGAATATACAGAATGTCTGCTTGTAGCTGCATCAGAATTTTATTGCTTGTCATTCCTCCATCTACTTGCAAATGACTGAGTGGAATCCCACAGTCACGATTCATAGCATCCAAAATCTTAAAGAAAACAATGCAATTAGCGTAATGAATCTACGTCATGGTAATATCTCTGCAAATGGCGATCCTTGACTCAAGAACCCTCAAGAGCTTCTCAAAGTCTGCAGAACAAAATTGGGACATCGTATTCTGGTCTTCCACGCCTTGCTTGATCTGGTCAACATAAACCTCTCTTACTACACTTCTACATTCACCCCGATATTCAGCCAAGCCAAACAACTCTATTTTGCATGTTGATTTCCCGCCTTAATACCACTGTTTCTGCTATTTCCTCTGCCTAATCCAAGGGTACTTCAACAAGTTTGTAGAAAAGTGAATTAATGGGGCCAGTGCCGTGGCATAGGAAGTAAAGCTACCGCCTGCAGTGCTGGCATCCCATATGGGCACCAGTTCAAGACCCAGCTTCTCTACTTCGATCCAGCTCCTTGCTATAGCCTGGGAAAGCAGTAGAAGATGGCCCAAGTCCTTGGGCCCCTGCACCCGTCTGAAAGATCCAGAAGCTCCTGGCTCCTGGCTTTGGATCGGCACAGCTCCGGCCATTGTGGCCATTTGGGGAGTAAACCAGCGGATGGAAGCCCCCCCACCTCTGCCTCTCTATAAATCTGCCTTTCAAATAAATAAATAAATATTGTTTAAAAAAACTAATTAAAAGGTTTTGGTGCAGGGGCAGATATTGACCTAAGAAATTAAGACATTGCTTGGAAGTCTTGTATCATATCAGAGTCCTGACCCTACTTCCTACACCCTGGGAGGCAGCAGCACTTGGGTCCCTGCCACTCACGTGAGAGACTCATATTGAGTTCCAGGTTCCTGGCTTCAGAATGGCCCAGCCCCTGATCTTGTGAGCATTTGGAGAATGAATCAGCAGATAGATCTCTGTGTCTCTGTTTCTTGTCTTCCTTTCAAAGAAATTGAAATAAATAAGTATTTAAAGTTATAAAGGGGCTGGCACTGTGGTATAGTGGGTAAAGTTGCCGCCTACAGTGCTGGCATCTCATACGGGTGCCAGGTTGAGTGCCAGCTGCTCCACTTCTGATCTAGCTCTCTGCTATGGCCTGGGAAAGCCCAAGCCCTTGGGCTCCTGCACCCACATGGGAGACCCAGAAAAAGCTCCTGGCTCCTGGCTTCGGATCAGCGCAGCTCTAGCTGTTGCAGCCATCTGGGGAGTGAACCAGTGGATGGAAGACCTACCTCTCTTTCTCTGCCTCTGACTCTCTTTAACTCTGCCTTTCAAATAAATAAACCTTTAAAAAAGCTTAACATTATAAAGAAAAAAAGATTTTGGTATAACATAATTTTGAACCCCCAAATATGTAAAAAGTTCATGAAAAATGCACATGATAAAGCTGTGCATGACTTTCAAAACCAATTTTGCACCAAAATAAACTTATCTTTTAATTCAAATTTTCTACAAACTTACTTGAAGTACCCTGTATACTACTCAGCCTCCCTCTAATCTTAAAATGCCCACGGTCTGGCAGATAACAGGTACTTGGAAGGTAACAACAGGTGGGTAAAGGGAAACATACGTATTTAGATTAATACTGAAGGAGGCTTACTTTTTGATTAAGTACATTTTCAGTATTTAACAAATGCTAGGGAGTAGCATATGACTTAACAATGACAAAAGTAGATTAAGAAAAAGAAAAGTGGATTAACATTGAGAAAACAAGCCCATATTCATTACCTCTCGGGTTTGGAAGCAAACCGCTTCTAATGCAGCAAAAGCAATATGACATTTATTGGTGAACTGAGTGAGTCCACAGATTATCCTAAAAATATAGAGAAAGATTTTCACATGAGAGTGGTATAAATGAGTCATTGATCTGAAATGTCCTGAATATGAAAAGGATGAATTTCACAGATAGAAATGTACAGGGAGGGGCAGGCAGTGTTATGGCACAGTGGGTTAAGCTTCTGCCTGCAAGGTTGGCATCTCGTATCAGAGTGCTGGTTCAAGTCCTGGTTGCTCTGCTTCTGATCCATCTCTCTGCTAATGTGCCTGGGAAAGCAGTAGAAGATGGCCCTTCAAGCAGCTGAGTCCCTGACACCCATGTGGGAGACTAACTAGGATGGAATTCCTGGCTCCTGCCTTTGGCCTGGCCCAGCCCAAGCCATTTTGGCCATTTGGGGACTGAACTAGCAGATGGAGGATCTCTGTGTGTGTGTGTGTGTGTGTGTGTGTGTTTGTGTGTTCCTCCTTCTTTGTCAATTTGCCTTGAAAGATAAATGTACAGGGAAAGAATATTGCACAGAATTATTTAGTGACTTGGAATGTCCTTATACTCTACAATGCTGCATCCACATATGAAAAAGTTCATGATCCATAGGAAAAGATAACTGTAACATAAAACCCAATCAGTATTCATTCGGATGATGTCCCTTTGCAATACACCTTGCAGATGTTTTGAAGATCATGAATAGAGCCATGGTAGGGGTTACTGTCAACTGATTTATAACTACTTGGAGCCGAAAGGTTCTGAAATTTTCCTCTCCAAATAGAAAAGGTTTTCCTCATAAGCTTTAAAAATCATTTGATAGACAGGAAGTGATTAATTAATTTTCAACTAATTTAGTAAGTAAATCAAACCCTAAAACGCATACCATATTTTCATCACACTTACCCTCTTGCACTGGGCTCCCAGTAAGGTGCATATAACCCTGAAAACGCTGGGACAAAATAGCAGCCATAAGAAGTACCCACTTCTTTAGCAAGTTTTTCTAACAAAAAAAGAAAGAAAAACAAAACTCACATTAATATCCTACTTTATTGAATAAACATGCCCATTTAAAAAGTTAGGACAGTGTTTGGGTTTCTAATTCATTGGTATAGCAAAATGTTCCTAACTACAGCACTATGCTAGGAGAAACTAAAATAATTTTCTCTACGTTGAACACCTCCACTAAAATGTAACCCAGAAATTAAGGAACCTGATTTGTTTCCTTACAGTATTTTAGCTTATTTCCACCATTTTTTTTGACAGGCAGAGTTAGACAGTGAGAGAGACAGAGAGAGACAGAGAGAACGGTCTTCCTTCCATTGGTTTACTCCCTAAATGGCTGCCACGGCCAGTGCTGGGCCAATTTGAAGCCAGGAGCCGGGTGCTTCCTCCCGGTCTGCCATGCGGGTGCGGGGACCCAAGCACTTGGGCCATCCTCCACTGCCCTCCCAGGCCCCAGCAGAGAGCTGGACTGGAAGAGGAGCAACTGGGACTAGTACCCGGCGCCCCAACCGGGACTGTTCAGAACCCGGGGTGCTGGCACCGCAGGCGGAGGATTAACCAAGTGAGCCACAGCGCCGGCCCATTTCCACCATTTTTAAGGTTGCTGACTAAGAGATGAAGAACTGTCTCTACTGTGTCCCTAATCAGAAATATATTTCGGGTTGTCTTACCTTCAGGCAAACTTAAGCAAGTGGAAGAATGAGTATGTGAGCTCAAGCTAATTATCTACATACTGAAAATAAGTCATATTAATACTTAAAATTATAGGTGTCAGAGGTTCAATCTAGGAGTTAAACCTCTTTCCGAACAGATAAATTTAACTAGACTACTTTACCTGCAGATTCTGGCAATCTCCAGTGTTCAATTTTACACTTGGGTAATTTTTATGCCCCATGATGCCAGTTTATTAATAACTACCACTAATTATGTCAATTCACTGTTTTATCAATCTTCACAAAACAGGCAGCCCTTTTTGTATAAGCCAAATGCACAACAGGGATCCATATAATTCATAGATCACATTTGGGGCAAAACATTAAGTATTTACAGGCTGTAGAGGGAAAATATTACAATTTTTCACCCTTAAGCTTTTTTAACCTTATGTTAGGACAAACTTACCAATCTCTTCTGAAGACTTAATAATTCCAAGATTGTCTCTTAGCCAGCGAATAACAGCACCTGCTATAGCTACAGAACCCTAAGGGAAAAAAAAGGAATCCAAGATAGAATATATGTTGTATCTACATAAGGTTTTTATTGAATGTATGACACTATTTGATAGACAAAATTCAAATGATTTCAACTTTGGGATTCTTACAAATATGACAAACTAGGTTTTCTAATGCAAACATAGATTTATCTAGGTCACTAACAAGTTTTTCATGGGATAAGGAAAAGTAGTGAGTCCTCCAGCATACCCTTGGATATGTTCGTCTAAGTGGACATGAATCTGTTGAGCAATTCACCTCTTGTACAATTTTTCTACGTGTTGCTAAGCTACTGAGGTATATGTCCATCTAAAATACATTTTCATGTTATCCACAAAGTTACTGGGAAAGGTCACATTAAAGGTTTTTTTCAAGTTTATTTCCAATATCTAATAGCATAATAAATCAAGCAAACAACAAAACGATAGCAAAGAAGCTGGCTACTAAGTAGTTATTTTTTAAAACCAAATCACCAAGGGATTGGCTGGAGTGGCTGTGGCAATAAGGATGAAAACATATGATTCAGAGTCAGATAAATTGGGTTGAATCCCAGTTTCAATATTTAATTACTATGTATCATAGGCAAATTACTTGAGCTTTCTAAAGAGCCTTCACTTCTTCAACCATAAAATGATGTTAACTATAACACCTAAACTCACGCTGTAAGGCCCAGTATGAGAACATATGTGAAAGTTCTTACTGAATGTATTAACTTCATTACCTTTTTAAGTGTTAAAAATGTATCAGCCAAACTCCATCAGCTGACAAATGAATAAAATGTGCAATATCCACACAATGGAATATTATCTGGCCACAAGAAGGAATGAAGTACTACTCATGGAGGCCACAACAGAGATGAGCCTTGAAAACATGCAAAGTGAAAGAAGCCAGGCACAAAACACCACATGTTGCATGATATGATTCCATTTATATGAAATATCCACAATCAGCAACTCCATAGAGACAGAAAGTAGCTGAGTGGTTGCTTAGGTTTGTTTAGGCTATGAGATTTCTCTTTGGGATGACGAAGATTTTCTAAAGATAGACTGTGGTGATGGCTGTAAAAATCTGTGAATGCATTAAAACCATTGAGTTGCATACCCTAAAAGAGTGAATTGTGTGGTTTATAATTTGTACCTCAATAAAGCTATTATTAAAAGACTCAGAACAAAAGAAAATTATGAGCACAAGCCATTAGCAATTCCCAAAACAAACTTTTGCTCTGATGTTTCATTGATATAAATTATCAATTTAAATGGCCTGTGATCTTAAATGTAGGAACCTGTGCTGAACTCAATGAACTGAATTACAAATGGTCACATCTTCTTGCTGTTAATTGTTAGGATGCAAAAAACTAGAATATGAACATTCTGATATATTCTATCATCCATAGCTGTTATAAGAAAAGTCACTGTAAATTACTGCAAAGCTGCAGAATGCCATGATTATTCTATTTATTCAATGGCTGTTTTTAAAACTATAAAAAATTATTGCAGGAATAGATGTTTATAGCTATGCAAATATAACAAAGCTTTTAAAAATGGAAAAATAATTCAACAAATACCTTATGAAGGACTCTAACCTACCATGCCCCATTCCCACTCCATTAAAAAGCTCTTAAAACACTTCCTAACTCTGATATCTTTACATATTTTGGCACTTAGTGAGACCATTCAGAAAAACAATAAGTTTTTTAAAAGAGCCTTAAGAACCTTTTTTAGGAAGCAGACAATTCAAAGATAGGAGCTACCAAAAACTAGTAAATATGTATCAGTTTCTGACAGGCTGGTGCTATCTGAAAGAAATATAATGTAGCCATATATATAATTCAAAGTTTTGCCCCTTTATAAAGCAAAAAGAATTAGGTAAATTATATTTTATTTAATCAATATATTAATATATATTACTGCAGCATATAATCAATACTAAGATTATGGAGTTGTTTTGTACCTATGTCTTTGAATTCTGGTATATGTTCTACTCTGATAACATTGCTCAATTCAGGACAGCCAAAGCTCAATAGCTGCATTTGGCTAATGTCTTCCATACTGGATAGCACAGTTCTAGATCTAATTGAAAAAAACAGATGCCCCTTTCCCTTATACTCTCAAAAGACACTGTCCCTAAATGGCAGCTACCCATATATATTTTCAATAGTTTTAGGTGAGTAGAAGTTATGAATTTAACAAAAGCCACTGTACTAGAAATACAGGAGGAGAGTGGTTTGTGGCTATCAGCTACAATTCTGGGAAACCAACTGCTGATGTACCTCGCTTGCACTGAAAAGAGAAGGATGCTACACACACTTAGACAATTCTTATATTTTGAGAGGAAGCAATATAGTTTCAGCAATGGGAAAGTCAAGTTTTGAATACAGGTTGAGAACCAGAGGGCATTATTTCAATTAAAACAAATGAAAAAACACCCAAGCCACTGTTGGGGCTCCAGAAGAAAATTATTTTAACTTCAGTCATCAGGAATGAACAGGAATGTTTTACTGAAACTGAAGACATAGATTCAGTATAAGAAAATAAAAGGTAGATAACCACACTTATCTGAAAGAAGTCCTTAGTTTTGCTAAAGGATGTAACACAGAGTATTATTTAGCCTTTAAAGAAATTAATAAAATGAGAGAAACCCACAAATTCACAGAAGACATGGTCTTCTGAATTCAGAAGCAGTAGATAAAATGGAAGGTGGTATAATTCTTCAAAACTGGACAGGAAAAGTGTGCAGGAATGGAAATCTAAAATTACAGACAGAAGGTCTACTTATTATCAATTAAATTACCACAAATTACATCCTAAATATAATATGGATAAGTCAGTCCTTAACTGTAAGTCATGGCTCTCTGGAAGAGGTACAGGCCAAGACAAATAGTTGCTCACTGAAAGAAGACACTATGGAGATAAAGTATAAAGAAGAATAAATTGAATGATAAAAGGACAAGAGGAATAAATTATTTAAAAATTATACTCATGTCTAGAAAGTGAAAGATTAAGAAACAGGCTATGGGGGCAGCTGTTTATGGTGCAGGGGTTAAGCTGTGCTTCAGACACCTGTGTCCCATATCAGAGTGCCTGGAATTGAGTCCCACCTCTGCTTCCAATTCAGGTTCCTGCTAATGTGCACCCTGGGGGTTGCCACTGCCACCAACAAATGAGACCATTTTAGGATACAGTGGATTTGTATCTTAAAAATGCAGCTATGTTAAAAATGATGGATGTGGAGAAAAATCATAAAACAAAGATTTTCTGTAAATTGCTTAAAATATCCATGAGGCACAGTAAATAGTTTTATGCATACTATAGTATTATGTATCTATGCCTGTATGATTTATACTGTAATTAATTTGTAAATATTTGATACAAACGCATTTTAATGTCAGAGGGAAAGGGAACACAGTTGAGCCACACTATGTTTGGAACATAATACATTTCACTCAGTATTCTTCAGTAATAAGTTAGAGAAGTTATATTACAAGCATATATTGCTCAGAAGGTATAATTTTCAAGAAAGCACGTTACAAAAGCCCATATACGGGAGACCAGGAGAAGCACCTGGCTCCTAGCTTCGGATCAGCGCAATGCGCCAGCCGCGGCGGCCATTAGAGGGTAAACCAATGGCAAAAGGAAGACCTTTCTCTCTGTCTCTCTCTGTCTCTCTCTCTCTCTCACTGTCCACTCTGCCTGTCAAAAAAAAAAGCCCATATACACTGTTTACAGTCTGGTAGACAGTCTTTTACAAAGGTGACAGGATACATGCAATTTTGTGTGCATGTCACATTACATGAGAGTACTGCTCCTGTTGCACTGGACACTCTCCTTCCCTTGCTGACCTTGAAGAAGCAGAGGGCCACTTTGGGGACCCTTGTGTAGCAAGGAACAGTAGAAACCCAAGCCCTTGGTCCTACAACCATGATGAACAAAATTCTGTGAACAACCTGAGTAAGCTCGGGAGCAGACAGAGCCTCAACTGAGCACGCAGTCTTGTGTGGCCCTGGACAGAATTTACCTGAGCTCAGCCTCAACTCTGAACCCACTGGAACTGACAGATAATAAAATGTGGCTGACATATCAACAAATTGTGCATGTTTATGGGGTGCCATGCAATGTTGCCATACATGTATACACTGTATAATGTCCAAAGTGTATATTATTTTAACCCATTTAAATTTGATGTCATTATGTTATATAGAAATATATAGGCCGGCGCCACGGCTCAATAGGCTAATCCTTCACCTAGCGGCGCCGGCACACCGGGTTCTAGTCCCGGTCGGGGCGCCGGATTCTGTCCCGGTTGCCCCTCTTCCAGGCCAGCTCTCTGCTGTGGCCCAGGAGTGCAGTGGAGGATGGCTCAAGTGCTTGGGCCCTGCACCCCATGGGAGACCAGGAAAAGCACCTGGCTCCTGCCTTCGATTCAGCGCAGTGCGCCGGCTGCAGCGCGCCGGCAGTGGCAGCCATTGGAGGGTGAACCAACGGCAAAAGGAAGACCTTTCTCTCTGTCTCTCTCTCACTGTCCACTCTGCCTGTCAAAAAAAAAAAAAAAAGAAAAAAGAAAAAAGAAAAAAGAAAAGAAATATATAACTACAACACAGGCTTGTACTATAAGACAATATCTATTTCAAGAAGTATGAAAAACTCTACAAAAGAAATCTTAACACTATTATAATCAGAAATCACTCCAAAGAATAGATGGGGAAGAAACATTTAAAGAAACCAATGTGCCATAGAGGGAACTCTTTTGGAAGTTCACAATTACAAAGAAAAATGGTATAACATAGAATTTGATATCTAAGCAATATGTATGGTCTATTATTCATCTGCCAGCCAACTAGGCATTCAGTAAACAAGACAAACAAGTACCTTGGCCTCAGGAAATTGATATCCTAGTGACAGAATATAGAACATGGAAGTCTCAAATCCTGAACAAGCTCAATTTCATGATCATAGTAAAGCCTCCCCCACCCTACCTCTAGCATTTCTGTTTT